AATGGGGCTAGTAGTACATGTTTACCTCCTAGGGGTGTTGTGAAGATACATACACTAAAGACTGTGGTGTGCCATGGTGTTGTAGCCAAGTTGGTCCCAGGATATACCTCACCCACCTTGTCTCCTGAAAGAGTGTGAGGCATTTTCAGGTACTGTTGTAATGGGCCCATATAAATACTGTAGATAGATTTTGTTTGTTTCCATTCTAACCCTGATGCTAGTCTTATGGTGCTGGCAACCAGTCTGGAGCACTATAAAGATGTAATCAAAGAGCAGAGCTGGCCAACGTGGTTTTAGAAGTCAGTCTTAATTATTTGGGTGAATGCCACCATCAGTCTAATGAGAGGGAGCAGTCAGCACATGTGGGTTTGCAGAAGTAAATTAAAAGTGTAAATGTCATTTACACTTCACCTTTAAGGAAGCCTTTTTTCCTGCCCTTCTAGGTGCTCTCCAGCAGAGCAACACATGGAAACAAACTGACCCCCTGTGGCATCCCTGTAGAATTCCTGTTTTATTATCCTATTTATTCCTATTTGAGTTATTTGGGTTTTTTCACTCTTTCCCATATGCCTGTTCAATAATGTTCAGGTCAGAATTGGCTGGTTCCTAATATCAGTAATGTGCTGAAAAGCTTGGGGCCTTAAGGTTCAACTGCGTACAGAGGCAGTACTAGCAAAGAGGCAACTGAAATGGCAAAACACTCATAGTTGTCATTGGGAAAAGGAGCTGGGTCTATATGCATGAAACTGAAGATGGAATGGTTCTTAATTTTTTTAACACCTTAGGAGCTAGACACAAACACAAGTGGGCATGCTCCTGGTATACCATGCACTAGTATTTCTGTGTTACTCATAGCATCACATTGGAGAAAAATGAAGGATGATTCTGCAAACCCTTAATCACACCAAGAAGTCCTTACTCAATGGGACTGCTCATATGGGTGTGGGTTTGCAAGATCTAAGTAGGCATGCTCCTCATGGTAGTATCTGCCAAGAGATTGGGCCCTGTGTTTGCGTATATCTCTCTGCCACTCCATTTGCAGAAATTCTGTCTGGGAGACTGAGTCTGATACTATCTATTCAATATCTTGTGTGTAAAAATATGTGGTCCAAATTCAGCAGGAGGTGCTTTTCTCAGCCTTTGGTCTACTATGTGCAAGTGAGCCAGTGGCATTACCTGCATTGTTATTTCAAGTCCCCTCAAAATTACCATCTGGTCAAACAATTGTGTCCCTATCTGGTTACAGTAATAATTTTTATAAAGAATTGTATCTTTCCAGATTTAAATCCAGGTTTTTTTCAGACATCGGAAGGCAGTCACAGTTTCGTGTCCCTTTGTTTTTTATCTGTGTATGCTTAGATTTGTTTTGTTTAACCCGTGTTGGAAAAAAATAAAATAAAACATTGAAGGGGGAAAAAAAAGAAAAGAAACCAGGAGTTTCAAAATAAGGGCATTTGCGTCCTGTCGCTGGAGCTCGGCCTGATTTGATTTCTTGGGAGCTGGTTTGATTTACCTTGGATTTTGCTTCTGAAGGCAGGATGTTTTATCTGCCTTTTAACCTGTGACCCAGACGTGTGACCTTTTAACTTTTATCTCTTTGGGAATAAGCCTGGGCCCTGTCAAGTTCCTCTAGAGACTGCATAATGAGAAGGAGCATTTCTAACAGTAAAGATGATACATGATTGCAGTAGATGTCTGCATGCTGGCCTCTAGGCAAGTTCTATCCTTATAGGAATGCGACCTGCAAATTGCGCAGGCTTAAGAGTCACTTTGTGTGCTCTGTGGGCTAAACACAGCCTGGCAGAAATACATTTTACTTTTTTGAATGGTAGGTCAAATTCTTATATTTCCCAGGCACACAAAGGGCTACATCCTGGGATGCAGCATAGCCATGCTGCCAGCAATTTCCATCTTTGTCCTGTTCTGCCCCAGGAGAATCACCCCAGTGCAAGGGGCACAGATGAGCTAGGGGCCTTATACCAGACCCCTTCCTGCTGCCTGTGTGGAGGATGTGGCCCTAAGAAAGGGCGATTTGGCTGGGATGACTCTTCTCAATGCTAATTCCTGTGTTCTGTTTTAGCTCTTTGGCACTGTTAGCAGACAGTATAAGTCAGAAGAACCCTCTGGCTGTTCGGCCCCCTGGGGACTGGCCATGCACACGGCAGCTCCAGCATCAGGACAGTACAATGGGGAACCTTTACACTATCTTGGTACTCTCTGATGCCCACCTGCACCCTGCAGTCCCCAGCCGTAGCAGAGGATCTGGTCTGGAATGTGTTCCTTGGTGGTTGTATCTCTATGTATATAGAAAGAGAGGCATATCTAAAATAGACAGAATATATTTTATTTTTTTCCTGATTTATTTATTTTTATTTCATAAAGTAAATAGGGGAGGGAAGGATGTACAACCAATAGAATTATATACACAGAAACCAGAGGCAGGATTGTCTCCTCCCATTTGGAGAAATATGCAGGCTGGAACCAGCAAGGCAGGAAAATTCAGTGAGGCATTTCCTGCCCAGACTTACCCAGTGCCTAGAGTCCTGAGTGTTAGTTCCACTCGCGGCTTGTTTTCAGGAGTTTTTTCAAAGCATTTACGTTAAACTTTAATACTTCTTTAAAGTATTTACAAAATCCTAGCAATGGTATTGGTTCATTGCTAGATGGAAATGGCAGAATTGTCAATAATAATGCAGCAAATGCAGATGTTTTCCATAAATAGTTCTGTTCTGATTTTTGGAAAAAAGCTAGATGATATAGACATATCATACCATGATAAAATACTTTTCATTCCAACAATAATTCAGGAGGATGTTAAACAGGAGTAACTGAAATTAGACATTTTTAAATCAGCAGGGTCAGATAACTTGCATCAGAAAGTTTTAAAAGAGCTGGCCGAGGTTCTCTCTCAATTGTTGATGCTGATTTTTAATATGTCTTGAAGCTGAGGAAAAGTTCCAGAAGAGTGGAAGCAAGCTAATGAGCCAATATTTTAAAAGTGTAAACAGGATGACCCAGGTCATCCTGACATTGATCCCAGGCAAAATAATGAAATGGCTGTTACAGGATTCTATTAATAAAGGGTATGTCTACACTACGAAATTAAGTCGAATTTATAGAAGTCGGTTTTTTAGAAATCGGTTTTATATATTCGAGTGTGTGTGTCCCCACAGAAAATGCTCTAAAGTGCATTAAGTGCATTAACTCGGCGGAGCGCTTCCACAGTACCGAGGCAAGCGTCGACTTCCGGAGCATTGCACTGTGGGTAGCTATCCCACAGTTCCCGCAGTCTCCGCTGCCCATTGGAATTCTGGGTTGAGATCCCAATGCCTGATGGGGCTAAAACATTGTCGCGGGTGGTTCTGGGTACATATCGTCAGCCCCCCGTTCCCTCCCTCCCCTCCCCCCCCGTGAAAGCAAGGGCAGACAATCATTTCACGCCTTTTTTCCTGAGTTACCTGTGCAGACTCCATACCACTGCAAGCATGGAGCCCGCTCAGCTCACTTTGGCAATTAGGAGCACATTAACCACCACACGCATTATTCAGCAGTATATGCAGCATCAGAACATGGCAACGAGATACCGGGCGAGGAGGCGACGTCAGCGCGGTCCCGTGAGTGATCAGGACATGGAAACAGATTTCTCTGAAAGCATGGGCCCTGACAATGCATGCATCATGGTGCTAATGGGGCAGGTTCATGCTGTGGAACGCCGATTCTGGGCTCGGGAAACAAGCACAGACTGGTGGGACCGCATAGTGTTGCAGGTCTGGGACGATTCCCAGTGGCTGCGAAACTTTCGCATGCGTAAGGGCACTTTCATGGAACTTTGTGACTTGCTTTCCCCTGCCCTGAAGCGCATGAATACCAAGATGAGAGCAGCCCTCACAGTTGAGAAGCGAGTGGCGATAGCCCTGTGGAAGCTTGCAACACCAGACAGCTACCGGTCAGTTGGGAATCAATTTGGAGTGGGCAAATCTACTGTGGGGGCTGCTGTGATGCAAGTAGCCCACGCAATCAAAGATCTGCTGATATCAAGGGTAGTGACCCTGGGAAATGTGCAGGTCATAGTGGATGGCTTTGCTGCAATGGGATTCCCTAACTGTGGTGGGGCTATAGACGGAACCCATATCCCTATATTGGCACCGGAGCACCAAGCCGCCGAGTACATAAACCGCAAGGGGTACTTTTCAATAGTGCTGCAAGCTCTGGTGGATCACAAGGGACGTTTCACCAACATCAACGTGGGATGGCCGGGAAAGGTGCATGATGCTCGCATCTTCAGGAACTCTGGTCTGTTTCAAAAGCTGCAGGAAGGGACTTTATTCCCAGACCAGAAAATAACTGTTGGGGATGTTGAAATGCCTATATGTATCCTTGGGGACCCAGCCTACCCCTTAATGCCATGGCTCATGAAGCCATACACAGGCAGCCTGGACAGTGGTCAGGAGCTGTTCAACTACAGACTGAGCAAGTGCAGAATGGTGGTAGAATGTGCATTTGGACGTTTAAAGGCGCGCTGGCGCAGTTTACTGACTCGCTTAGACCTCAGCGAAACCAATATTCCCACTGTTATTACTGCTTGCTGTGTGCTCCACAATATCTGTGAGAGTAAGGGGGAGACGTTTATGGCGGGGTGGGAGGTTGAGGCAAATCGCCTGGCTGCTGGTTACGCGCAGCCAGACACCAGGGTGGTTAGAAGAGCACAGGAGGGCGTGGTACGCATCAGAGAACCAGTTTCATGACTGGCCAGGCTACGGTGTGAAAGTTCTGTTTGTTTCTCCTTGATGAACCCCCCCGCCCCTTGGTTCACTCTACTTCCCTGTAAGCTAACCACCCTCCCCTCCTCCCTTTAATCATTGCTTGCAGAGCCAATAAAGTCATTGCTGCTTCACAGTCATGCATTCGTTATTCATTCATCACACAAATAGGGGGATGACTACCAAGGTATCCCAGGAGGGGTGGTGGAGGAGGGAAGGAAAATGCCACACAGCATTTTAAGCACAGCACTTTAAAAGTTTACAACTTTAAAATTTATTGAATGACAGCCTTCTTTTTTTTGGGCAATCCTCTGTGGTGGAGTGGCTGGTTGGCCGGAGGCCCCCCCACAGCGTTCTTGGGCGTCTGGGTGTGGAGGCTATGGAACTTGGGGAGGAGGGCGGTTGGTTACAGAGGGGCTGCAGTGGCAGTCTGTGCTCCAGCTGCCTTTGCTGCATCTCAACCATACACTGGAGCATACTGGTTTGGTCCTGCAGCAGCCTCAGCATTGAATCCTGCCTCCTCTCATCACGCTGCCGCCACCTTTGAGCTTCAGCCCTGTCTTCAGCCCGCCACTTACTCTCTTCAGCCCGCCACTTACTCTCTTCAGCCCTCCACCTCTCCTCCCGGTCATTTTGTGCTTTCCTGCACTCTGACATTATTTGCCTCCACGCATTCGTCTGTGCTCTGTCAGTGTGGGAGGACAGCATGAGCTCGGAGAACATTTCATCGCGAGTGCGTTTTTTTTTCTTTCTAAGCTTCACTAGCCTCTGGGAAGGAGAAGATCCTGTGATCATTGAAACACATGCAGCTGGTGGAGAAAAAAAAAGGGACAGCGGTATTTAAAAAGACACATTTTATAAAACAGTCGCTACACTCTTTCAGGGTAAACCTTGCTGTTAACATTACATACATAGCACATGTGCTTTCGTTACCAGGTCGCATTTTGCCTCCTCCCACCGCGTGAACGGATTTTGGTTGAATGCCAGCAAACATACACTGCAATGCTTTGTTCTACAGTGATTCCCGAGTACGTGTTACTGGCCTGGAGTGGTAAAGTGTCCTACCATGAAAGACGAAATAAGGCTGCCCTCCTCAGAAACCTTTTGCAAGGCAGAACCGCAAATGCCAGGGCAAAGTATCCTTTCACATGCTTGCTTTAAAACCATGTATAGCATTTTAAAAGGTACACTCACCAGAGGTCCCTTCTCCGCCTGCTGAGTCCAGGAGGCAGCCTTGGGTGGGTTCGGGGGGTACTGGCTCCAGGTCTAGGGTGAGAAACAGTTCCTGGCTGTCGGGAAAACCGGTTTCTCCGCTTGCTTGCTGTGAGCTATCTACAACCTCCTCCTCATCATCTTCTTCGTCCCCAAAACCTACTTCCATATTGCCTCCATCTCCATTGAAGGAGTCAAACAACACGGCTGGGGTAGTGGTGGCTGAACCCCCTAAAATGGCATGCAGCTCATCATAGAAGCGGCATGTTTGGGGCTCTGACCCAGAGCGGCTGTTCGCCTCTCTGGTTTTCTGGTAGGCTTGCCTCAGCTCCTTCAGTTTCACGCGGCACTGCTTCGGGTCCCTGTTATGGCCTCTGTCCTTCATGCCCTGGGAGATTTTCAGAAAGGTTTTGGCATTTCGAAAACTGGAACAGAGTTCTGATAGCACGGATTCCTCTCCCCAAACAGCGATCAGATCCCGTACCTCCTGTTCGGTCCATGCTGGAGCTCTTTTGCGATTCTGGGACTCCATCATGGTCACCTGTGCTGATGAGCTCTGCATGGTCACCTGCAGCTTGCCACGCTGGCCAAACAGGAAATGAGATTCAAAAGTTCGCGGTTCTTTTCCTGTCTACCTGGCCAGTGCATCTGAGTTGAGAGTGCTGTCCAGAGCGGTCACAATGGAGCACTCTGGGATAGCTCCCGGAGGCCAATACCATCGAATTGTGTCCACAGTACCCCAAATTCGAGCCGGCAACGTCGATTTAAGCGCTAATCCACTTGTCAGGGGTGGAGTAAGGAAATCGATTTTAAGAGCCCTTTAAGTCGAAATAAAGGGCTTCATTGTGTAGACGGGTGCAGGTTTAAATCGATTTAACGCTGCTAAATTCGACCTAAAGTCCTAGTGTAGACCAGGGCAAAGAATTAAAGGAGAGTAATAGAATAATAGAAATGTGGGGCTGGAAGGGATCTCAACAGAACATTTCATCCATCCCCAGTGCGCTGAGGCAGGATTAAGTATAACTAGACCATCCCTGATGAGTGTTTGTCTAACCTGTTCTTAAAAACCAGTTAATCTGAAACAGTTCTACTCTTCTCACCACAAAACAATCCATTGGACACTGTAGAATGATGCTGAATCGAGCTTCCAGCATGGGCAGATGTACAATGCCACATCAATTAGCACATTAATCATTGTTGGCATTATTGAGGCTGCAGCATGAATTTCAGGTTTCTTTCTTTCTTTCTTTCTTTCTTTCTTTCTTTCTTTCTTTCTTTCTTTCTTTCTAACTGGTTAGTTTATGCTGAAAGTTTTGATACAGAAAAAAATCTAGCAGGGCTTTTTTATCAAAACCAGAAAGGTTCTCCATCTCTCTCTGATAATCTGAAGAGTATGTCCATATTGTATTCACTTCCTGAAAATATTCTTTAAGAAACATTTTTTTGTATTTTCTTAGAGATTTAAAAAAGCCCAGCCCTCAAACTATTGAAATTCATGACCAGAGCATACACTTACTTGACTCTGATGTGAACCTAGACATTGTTGACTGTCTGTCTTTCTTGTTACAATAGAGAGACTTTTCTTTAGCTTGTTTTGTGTTTCAAGCCAGTAAATTACTTCCAAACTTTTTATTTTAATTGTATAAAAAAAACTCTCTGCTGAAACTTAAGCTTGTGTCTCAAAGTATTCTCGTGCCCTTATATCACATTTATAAACTCTTCCTGGGGAAAAAATACATTATTTTTCTTTGTAACCCCATGTGGAGTTTGTCAGTTTCTGGAACGCTGGACTGAGCTTCTAGGGGACCTGCTCGATGGACTACAGCTACTATGGTTTCAGAGCCTCCATACAGCATTTCCGAGCCTGCCTAGAATTTGGTGCAGAGACAGAGTAGACTAGAAACTTCTAGAACAGCCACTAGAGATGGGGGTTCTGATGTGGTCACAGGGTGATTTATATAGGCAGTTTGTGTGTCAAAGATGAGCCAGGCTTACTTAGTCCCTTGGTGAAAGAGGACAGCCTGACTCAGGCACTAGGTTTAGTTTTGCTTTTGGAACTTTTGAGTCTGGAGCTGAGAGAAGCAGAACAGTTTATGGGTCTCTGATCCCCACAAGGGATTATTATAATGTGTGTATCAGCGTAGAGTTTTGAAATTTTCCTATGCAGTTGTAACTCAAACCTATTGTGAGTCTGGGAAATGCCCACAGGTTAGCATTTCAGGAGTAACAAAAGAACTATAAACAAATGCTCCTGCTTGTCAGTCCCAGAGACACCTCACTACATCGCTGTTCCATGTAGAATAGGCAGGCAAAGATTTGCAATTCAAATGGCGGGGCTGGTGGAAAAGCATGCAGACTTTGAAGCCGTGTAACTAGAGTTGCCAGCTTTGGTTGGATGAATTTCTGGAGGCTTCATCACATGACATATCTTTAATTAAAGATTAATCTTTAATTCCTGGAGACTCCAGGACAATCCTGGAGGGTTGGCAACCCTGTATGTAACCCTGCATGTACACAATGAGGACACCGTCAGGATTTTTCCAGAAAAGGGGTCAAGATATAAAAGGCAAGAACAAAGTCCCCCTGATTACCTTTCATACCTCATCTCAGAACTGATAAACTTTGACAAGGACAATTTTGAATAAAGGACTGAGGTCTGCAATGCTCTTTGGGCAAATCCAGAGCGATTTGTAAAAACAAGCAGATATAACATCCCGGCTAACATTTTGGATTTACAAGCTTTAATTCACTTGTAGTGTAACTTACCTGCTTTAAACCTATGAATAACTCTCATTTCTTTCTTAGCTAATAAACTTTAGTTAGTTACTGAAGTCACTGGCTGGCAGCGTTATCTCTGGTGAGATCCTGAGCATCTGGTGACCTGGGGTGAGTGAACAGTTCTTTGAGATTGGGAGTAACCTAGTGTGTGGTGACTTTTGGTTTTAACAACCTTTCCTCACAGTAGTCCAGTTGGTCTAGGTGGTAAATCAGACTGGAGCGCTAAGGGGACTATCAGTGGCTTTATGGTGAGCTAATAAAGAGATCCAGAAGCACACGTGCATTGCTGGTTTGGTTAAATCTAATGATAGAATATACCACCAGTTTGGACAGTCTAAGCTCATATTGGCACTCACAGTTGTGACCCCCATTAGACCCTGGTGACAGTAGGGTTAGTCTTTTCCCCAGGGAACAGCAACCCAGCTGTCCCAGGCACAGAGTGGAGCCACCTTGGGTGGAGACCCCAGGAGCTGCAACAAATACCTAGGACCCAACCCATATGAGCAAGGGGAAGAAGCCACTCTGATTAGCAAACCCGAGGGAGGAGACTTGAGCCACACCTCAAGGAAGGAAATACATCTTGAAATCCAGTGGAAACAGAGCTGTCAGATTAGAGCCAGCCATGCTATCTAACACTTCCTCCTCGCTTTGGAATCTCCTTTTCCTGTGATTTTCTGCTGGCACCAGATCACTCTAATGTTTGATATGGTGTCTAGTATCAGCACCTCAGGGTAGGATTTTAGGCCAGATACACGTGTTTGTAATGCAGAATATATATATTGTGAGCCTCACCCTCAGCACACAATATCAGTACATTGCTGTACTATAAATTCCCAAAGTTATTACTTAAACATACATACATACACCTACATAAAAAACACCACCACCAAACAAAGATGAGGAGGGACGGTCCAGTGGTTTGGGTGCCAGCAATGGGTCATGAGAAACCTAGATACAATTCTTTGCTCTTCTACAGACTTTCTCTGCAAGTCACTCGCTGTGCCCCATGTCTAAAATGGGGATAATAGTATTTCTTTATCTTTCAGGGGTGTTTTGAGGCTAACTACAACAGACTGTGCGGTCCTCAGGTACTACGATGATGATGAGGCCAGACAAGTACCGCAGATAGCTTACTCTGCTGGGGTTTGTTTATATCTCTTTTGCCTGTCACATGCATGTTCTGTCTTGATCCTTGCAAAACCAAGGTAAGGCTAAGCTCTCTCTAGTCAGGCTGGAATCACCAGCCTAAAGTAGTCTGGATCCTCGGAGGAGCCTGGTGGAAGGAAACCTACCCAGTATTGCCAGTCCCAAGCATTCAAAGAATGCCACAAAGAAATCACGGGAATGGCTTAAAAATCATGAGATTTTAAGAATAATAAATGTTGGAATCTGTATTTGCCTCTGGGATTTGAGTCCTTAGGATTCACATTTTCAAGCCTTTCTCTGTAACCATGAGTGCTAGAAACTTACTTTTTTCTAATGCAAGCTGAGATTCTCATCTAACAACATGACTCCAGGAAACAGGGCTAAAAAACATCAATATTCTGATAAAATTGCAAGGGTTGGTACTGTGTTGGAACAAAGCAGAAAGGGTCCCTAGCTGCCTAATGTCAGGCTTTTGGCCTGAGATTCAGGCCAGGTCTGCATTAGAAACTTTTATTGGCATAGCCACATCGGTTTGGGGTATGGTACTTTGGTGACATTTCTGTACCAATAAAAGCCCTCGTGTAGGCATAGTTATATCAGCACCAAAGCACTTTTGCCAGCCTAGTTGATTTTAGGCTGACCAGATGTAACAGAGAAAATATCAGGATGCATGGGGGAAGCAAAAAAACAAACAAACAAAAAAACGGCTGGAGTTGCTGAAGCGAAAAAACCCCAGAAAACGCCGGAGCGGCCAAAGCCACAATATCGGGATAAATGGTGTCCCGACTGTGCATCGGTCGGGACGCGGGACAAAGACCTAAAAATTGGGACAGTCCCGATTTTATCGGGACGTCTGGCATCTGGTCACCCTAAGCTGATTTTGTTTCCGGAACTGGTATAAGCTATAGGAGCAAAAGCACTTTTTGGTCACTGTAAACTGAGTCTCCACTAGGAGGGTTTGCCAATATAGCTATACTGGCAGACCTTTTCTAGTGTTGATCTGGCCTCAGGTTTTTGGGGGTATCTCAGGCCTTAAGACTTTGCCCAAAATCTGAGGACTTTTGGCTGTGTTCTAGCCAGGGCACTGCGACTGACTCAGTACGTGCCCATGAGCAAGTCATTTGATCTCGCTGTCTCAGTTTCTCCTTCTATAAAGCAGTATGTGTTCTTCTACCTCACAGAGGTGTGGAGGATTAATTAACATTTGTAGTAGCCTTTGAACATGTTAAGTGCCAAGTACTATTATTATGGTGTCAAAAAGCAGAACTTCTCTCTGGTGGAGCTTTCCCTCAGCCTCTCCCTTTCTCCCACTTAGAATTTATAATCTTTGCTCCATGCTGGAAATTGATCTTGTTAACTATTTGCCTTCCTACTTTCAGATGTTGCTGTTCTCCAGGGATGCTCAATGTTTGTCAATCCAAAATATAAGATGTCTTACATTTGATACAACGCTTTGCACCAAAAGAATTCTTTAGTGCACATCTCACATTGCTTTCAAACAGGCACAATGTTCCCCTGTTTCAGAACATCTGCCTGTCATAACACTCCCCAAATATTACTTCTGCAGGGGGATTCACAGATGGGATTTAGATCACAGGGCCTCTTTGAAAATTGTGCTACCAAAGCCCAAGGAACTTTTCTTGTATAAATATACTCAGTAAATCAATTAAATAAATATAAAGCATTTGGTTCATGCATTGCTTTCAAGCCAACACATGTCTGAAAAGAGGATGATTAAAAGTATTTTAATGTATATATATTCGGTTTCGGTGTGTGTGTGTGTGTGAGAGAGAGTGGTTGGTAATTTGTGTGACCAACTTCATCTCTTTGTTGGGGTGACATTCAGAGAACAAACGCAAGGAACATGCAACACTTAATTCCAGATGGAGTTAACTGGGATTTCTGTGGTACTTAGGCCTTTTGCTAACATACTGCACACGGCTGAGTTTCACTCTTGTTGAATTGTGTGCAAAGCATCTTGTGACTTTCTC